CACCAACTGGAAGAAAAGGTTAACGCAGTACAAAAGTGGGAAGATTGCGGAAATCACCCTACTTAAAATTTGTAAGTAAGTAGTTACTCCCGTGGGTAATTTACAAGGCTAATTTCGCTCAATTTACTGACTTAAGCGGTTGTGGTATGCGGTGACCTTCTGAGGACCGCTCTGCAGTTCAATGCCATCATCAAATCTCTGCTGGATCAACGGATGGCGTATAGAAAACTGGAAGATTATGGGTAATTCAACCTACTTAAAGCATTTAAGTAGGTCGCTATAATACACAAGAACCTTTCGAAGACCCTACTTGGAAACCCTACCCTCCTTTCTTACGGACTGTGAAAATTTTGACTTCAAGTAGGACCTCCGCGACTCAGCCAGCAAGCACCTACCTCCCATACTGTCCGCTGTGTGACCAATTTCTCGGGGTTATATATCTTCTAGGGAATAACACTCATAAGGTTCCTATCCATTGGAATTTCCGGGCTTGTTTCTGGCATTTCCAATTCTGATGATTGACTTGCCACTGACAACTTTGCGAAAACGGAAGGTTCTTTCGCCACATAATAATACGTCTTCCTCTCACGCAGAATCTGCTTACATATACGGCTCTGACGAAAGCTTTAAAACCTACGTTTCATCACTACTACCCAACGAAACTAAAAACCGATATGGTAACACATTAACGGTACTTTCAACACCCTTTGCGAAAATAGAAGTGATAGTTAATTAATAGATCTGTTTCTACCTTAATAAACGAAAAATACATTCCTAATGACCTAACTTACAGCATAAAGATATGGTGCACATGAAATGAACGCAAAAGGGCGAACTAAAGGTTCACAAGCGTTAGCTGGATTCTAAGACTGTGGCACTTACGACAAACAGAGCAGTAGTAAAATGGCGTCTAACTGCCCACTTAAACGAAGCATCTTAATCAATTGGTATAGGACTATTACTATTGCCCAATTTAGGAGGCTCCCTACGATTTTCTGGACGAATTGCCATTTACTTAGATAAAGGTGGCATGTTTTTGTGTAAAAGTTGTCACTTTATTCAAGGGTTTTCTGAATGCTTCTGTGAAATCGACATGGCCATAGCCGCGTATTGCCTCGTTTGACCATACCCGCTAGTCGTACCATGTGTTGGCAGAGCACCGTCTGATTTTTGCAAATATAAATAGGATATTGAATTCTACACATTTCTAGCACTCCGAAACAGAACGAATTTTACCAGCTGACGTGGGAAAAGGACAAGCTGACTTGATAAGTCAGTTGAGCAGTTCTAAACTAGAAAGTTTGACCCGGGACAGAAATGCATAAGGAAATTATTCGCGAGATACGATGGCTGAACCATCGTCAGTTTAAGGGAAGCCGTCTATGAGTAAGCATTTTAAACATAACTGAGGAATTTCAGTAATTTGCATTCCTAGATGTTATGATGGTAAGAAGGACCGTCTTCGGAAAATCGTGTTGTGCTTGTTAATGTTCAACCAGATAACACTAGCTCGTTTTCAGACGACACAAACAGTTGGATTTGGAATTGGCGCACCTATCGTAATCCAAAAGAAGTAGACATGGACGCTGGAGCAAGAACTTCAGTCGCCTGACGTTTCAGATTCCAATTCCAATCCGGCTACAGATACAACATCACATAAGGATAATTCTTAAACAGGGGGTTGCAGTATCTATAGCATGCAGTCGCTATGCTATTGCATACTTGTGGGAGATATTATTGTCGGCAAAGACTAGGGAGACCGGAATGGCCACTTCTGGCTTATTAGCTGTCGCCAGCCACATCCAGCCGCAAGTGGTGCACCACTCGAAGCTCGAACATGCGACCTTTGTGATCAGAGTCTAACGTCCTAACTATTAAGTTCGTTGTCTTGCCGGGTTAGGTCGGGAGAGACTGGCATTCGTTCATCAACGAGCCTCAGTGTTTATGATAATTAACGGTCCCCTAGCGCGCTACTTACTTGATAACCGGCATGCAGGTCGTCTTCTGCTGAGAGTTAATCCCCCGAGCTGGCGGTTGGCGTGATGCTTGCTCGGTCGCCTGGTCCAGCGGCATTGGTGTTGGAACATGTATTCGTCTGCGAGCTCACCGAGTGACTGGCTGTTTTGGCCAAACTAAGTCTCAACAACGAATATGGGTTAGAAGGTCAGTACTCTTGTTAGCGGACTGGAGGCCCGTAGACAAAGACTCGAGCAACTCGCGAATCGTGCGATTGTCACCTCTCGCGAGAAGACTCCTTGAAATTAAATGTGTGACCGAACCTCGTCGAATGACCCGCAATCTGATAAACAGTGTCATTTCTCCGCACTCTTGTCTGTAATCCGCACAGCACAGTGTGATGAACTCGATATTTTGCGGAATACGAGTCAAGTTAATAGAAAAAGTACATTGTAAGCTCCACAGTTCAGCATTCCGCTGCGCTTCTTATACGAAGACAGGCAGAAATGCAGATAAAAGTGTTAACAGGTATGGAATGAACAATGCATAGATAACGTTTGGTAAAACCCTTAAGTAGTGGAGGTAGTGCATATTCCTATTGATCGCAATCGAGTAGCACAAAATAGCTTATCCAGTGAATAGGACTTCTACTTTGCCAGTAAGACCTAAGTGCCTAAGACAGAAATTAAGTCTTCCTTGTAGAAATCGAAAAGATCACCTCGCCTCTTTCATTGAAGCGCGATTTGAGTAAACGCATTCGGGATATTCAAGCAATCCTTAAGCGCAGTCAGGTAGTTTAGCTACTGACAGTCAATAAGGATAGCTGCGTGTTTATTAATTGTAGTGAGATCTGTCAATTTCTTGCAGATTTGCCCTCGGAAGCTAAATCGCCATATAAAAATCACATATAAAATGCTGATTTCTCGGGTGTGTGTGTGTGTGTGCAGATCGGAGAACAGGTCGATCTGTTTTCCTTTTCAGCGTTGCGACCATCCCACCTCAGGCTGCCGACAGCTGGGTGGTGGTCTGTTGCTGACGGTTGGGAAGAAAGTGAGGCTGACCCTCGGTGTCTTTCTTTCCCCAATATAATCAATCTGATGCGATTGAAACTATCGCGGTGTGCTAAAAGCCGTGGCTCGGAAGTTTTCTAGCTGACGGGCTATATTGGACACCGCAGTCGGTCCAGTGCGTCTTGTTGTGTGGGGTGGCTGACTGCGGGCTGAGAGACAGATTCGATGGCTCATTCTTAATGTAACCTTTATGGCGCTCCCAGTCAGGAGCCTACCTAGGGAGACGTGCTGTTCGTACGCGTGTTGAGTTTTGGTCGCACCAGCCGTCTGCGCCCTCCCTCATCTCCGGCCTTCTTGACTCTGTCTTGACAACCGGGTTTCGATGTAGGAGTGGTCATAGAATGAAGTAGATTCACCGCGAGTCTGCTTTCGCTTTTCATCTCGCGGATGTCATCGCATTGCTTCAACTCGTTGAAGTCGTTGTGGATATCGTCGAACTGTCGTACGTGTAGATATGAAGGTCCGGATGGGAATCGTACAGTGCATGTGCAGGCGAATC